GGGGTCACAAGCCTGCCTTTATCTGTTTATCTCCTCATACTTCCTGTGGCACCCTTCAAAAAGGATCTCAAGTGTACCCAAGCATGCCCCAGCACCCTGATTGAGAACCACTGCTCTAAAAAGCCAATGGACTTGAGTGCATAATTGCTGGGGGTGGAGAGGAGGTAACAGGTAAACTATATTTAGGCCCCAATTCCACAGCCAACTGCACAAGGCTGTGTGTCCCATTCACACTTGCGGGATCCAGTTTGCCTTTATGGGTCTCTGCACAGGTAAAGGCAAGCTTATTGCCAAAATCAGGGCCTAAATCTAGCAAGCACAAGTGGTTTCCCAAAGTAAAAAGCAGAAGTTTCTAGGTCAAGCCAACATTTGAAATTGTTCATAAGACAGATGCATCTGTGAGAGTTGAGATCCTCCAGAATTTAAGTATTAAGACCCTGAAGTCAACAATACCACCACTGAAACGAGATAGCACTTCATATTTCTAAGGATCAACACAAGTACAAAAATCACGTTATTGCTTTAAGATGTTTACAATAAGTGAAAGGAAACAGAAGCCAAGTTATTATTGCTCATATTTTATACAAGACAAAGAGTCAATTTTACCAAATTAAAAAAAAAAGGGCAGGTGAGCAGAATGAGCACAGACGTGTCCGGGGCAGAGTGGAAATGACCACTCTGAATGATTCTGTTTGGGGTGTAGTAGAAAAAATACACAAAAGCTTTAAAACCTGCATGAACATTTGTGTTCATAAGCCAAAGTTTAAAAAAAACAAAAACAAAAACCCAACTCTTGCCAGACTAGTTTAGAAGATCTTTCTACCCCGCACCCTCTCCTCACAGAAAGGGGAAGCAATAGTATTTCTAAGGTCTGATGAAAGGGATTGGTTAGTGTATTCCATACTAATATTAAAACAGGAATGGAAAGCAAAAAAAAGTATTTTAGGATAAACAAAAGAAATAAAGATCATGTCTCCCCCCACCCCTGTAGTTGACTTCACAGCATAGTAACTTGATATTCAAAGAATCCTACATCCACTTGCTCAGAGAACATGACTGCTTCAAAAAAGTGTTTTATAGTTGTTCCTTCAATTCAGACTTAACATAAAAAAAGTGAGTACCAAACTTCTCTTTGGAGGTTCCTGTTTCTGCCTCCGAAACTCCAGATCAAAAGGAACTGTGCCAGAAGCTAGAAATTTTTTTTGTACTTGGTATATCGGTTTGTTTTTACCTTTTACATCATAATTTTTTTCTGATTTTTCCTCCATTTCACACTGCTGTAAAAATAAAATGGGCTAAATTTCATCAGAAAAAACACTTGTCCTCTTTTTTGCTACTATGAGCAACCCTAATGAAAAAGATGTCAGTAAGATTGTTCAGATTAGTACATCAGATATACACTTACCTAAATACTTGTGAAAATTTGACTCCGCACCCTCACTAAGGCTCAGAATTACCAAAATGCAGATTAAGAATGACCGGTATCATACACCACACAAAAACAAGAAACCAAAAACCAAAACTAGACCCAGTGTCATACTGTCATGAAAGGTGAAAAGACAATCTTTGCAGTAATAGGCACTGATAAAGTAGAGCTATGAATATCTAATGGACATCTTTCATTCCTGTATGAATACAAGATCAATTCATTACCTTTTAGAAATTCCTATACTCAGTCGGATTCGTTTTCCCCCTAGACCTGCTGCATTTTGGCAGTCTTGCAGAGCTCTCATCTGATCACCTTGTTCACCAAACCTGACAAAGGCATACCCTCTGCAAATTCCAAAACAAAGATTTTAGTAATTCATCAGCCACAATATAGTACAGCTAAAGAGTTGAGCATTCTCCTTGCAGGACAACAGCTCTTATTTAAACACTGTAGTCATTCTAGTTTTAGGTTACGTATTTGTCCACCACCCTTGTGTTTTGACATATATTATACATACTGTCTGTACATACTGTGTCAGAATAGACTTCTATCAGAAGTGACTTTATGATTACAGATGGATTAAACAAAAGTTTATGCTGGTTCTCAACTAAAGAATGAATTGCTCCGATTCATTTTGTATCTAGTCAAATTCCATGTATATGCACAGCAAAACATTTGCTATGTTCTTAACTAGAGTGAACCAGGGCTTCAATTTACAGTATTTAAAAAGAGGGAAGAGACAAGTTCACTCTCTCAGTACCTTGTATTTCTTGTCAAATGAAGTATGTGGGCTGAACAGGGAAATAGGGGCATAACACTAAGGTCACTGGATGACAAGTCAAGTCAGAACTTCCTTTAGATCGTATCTGCTCCTAGTTGAAGTTTGTGGATCTCAATCTCCTCCTCATTTTTGAGGTCTCATGTTCATCTTCCGTTTGTAAAATGTGGGTAATACTTGGTCATCAGCACTACAACTTACCATACAATAGGGCAGCTGCCATGCATTGAGCAGAAGAGTACCGACTACAATGCAGAGCCATCCTCCCTTTTTTACAAATATGCCTATAGTAGAGTCAGAATCTACCCATATACAAATGTCAAATCCAGACAGAATTGAAATAGCAATAGAAAGTAATGCTATAAGATCTTTATATTAGATTCTAATTTGTCTGCCTTCTACCAACTATTGAAAAAATAAATGCAGAAATGACATATTTAAGTTTTAGAGCTTTTAAAACAGTCAACATCACTTCTATCAGCATTCTGATTCTGTATAGATATTACCTGGAGTATCCCAAAAGATCTGTGGCTATTTTGCAGTCAATGCATGAAGGGTACCTCTTCAGAAAATAATCATACAGCTGGAAGTCATCCACTTCAGGAGTTAGCTCTCCTACAAATATTGAATAATCTGGTCTAAAAAGAAAAACAATTAAATTTTTGCAGACTTCATTAGCAACAGAAAGTCAAAGTAACATTAGACAATAACAGTCTTCTCTAGCATGACACACATTACAAGACAGTCAGTGTAGTGCACTGAAATAATCTTAAAAACAATGCATCTAATCTCTTCAACTTTAATTTTAAGTTTTTCTATACATGTCAGTACCAGGAAATAAGGCAAGTCATAAAAACCCCAGTAACAAATAGATCCATAAACCGTTTGTACTTCAAAGTGCCATATAAATAGCTATCCAACCCAGTTAGTTTCCACAGAACACGTTGTTACCTGCTTCTCAGCAAAAATATTTAATAGAAGAAAATTGTAATGAAGTCTTGTTGCAAGGAGTTATTACTCTTACATAATATCCAAAATAAATATTTGGCACTCACATCCTCCATTAAGGATCACAAAGTACTCCAATCACTAGTTTTAATTTAGATTGGTTGTTATGGACAAAAGCCAATTCTGCCTATTTCACAATGTTTTACCTGCCAGGACTACTGACATATTCAACTCTAGCAGACTTAGATTTCTTTTTCTTCCGCTTCTTCTGGGGTCCTCTCCACCAACTATAGGCCGGTAGACACTCGCTCTTGTGTTTTCCCATAAGGTCCTGTTGGGGGGGGAAAAAAAAGCAGCTTCATAGTAGTTAGTCTCATTTAAATTCCTCCCTCCCACTCCCCATCACCACAGGTGATTTCCCCATATTCACCTTGCCCTTGAAAGAAGCCTGGGGTCCCATTTCTCCCTCCGCCTCCCATGAGGGAAAGCAGCCTCTGAAAACGCCTGGCAAAAATAACAGAGCCAAAGGATTGTATGAACAGCCATATTCCCCTGACTTGTCAAGCTGGCTAAAGGACTGACAGCTTCTTCTTGGAATTAAAAAAAAATTGCAGTTAGCCCTTAGGTGCTAGCCAGTCCTGCTGATCATTTTAAGGACTGGATTGCAACTAAGTAATCTTTGGGACTTGCTAGGAGACTCTGTAGAAGAATTTTTCTGGTGAAGGAGATTGATCCAAATCATCACTTTCACCTAGAGTGAGCTTCAATTGACCCTGCCTTCCCTCACCTTGGAACTCTTCTCCTCCGCTGTAAGGTGCCTCTCCTCGCTATTAGTTGTCAGGCACTCTCCCAAGCCAGGAACCAAGAGTGTGTGCGTGAGAGGAAGTAATAGATAGAATGCAAGGGGAAAGCAGACCAGGAACAGACACTAGCTTGGAGCCAAAGGGAACTCAGACCCAGATGCACAGGTCAGGAAGAAACAGGAAGGACTGCCTCACTCAAAAAAAAAAAAAAAAGGAGGA